CCGACCAGTTCCAGATGTGCCGCAGGAACCTGGAGGTCATGCCCAGCATCGTCCGGGCTGCCCGCCACACCAAGAGCTGCTGCCAGAAGACCTTTGCAGATATGAGGTGGAACTGCTCCTCCATCCAGCGAGCACCCAGCTTTGGCCCTGACCTGCTGAGAGGTAAAGGACCCTTCATCTGTTGTGTTGATGGTCCAGTTTCTGCTCCATGTAGCTGTCGAGGCAGGCAGCGCTGCTGTTCAGCTGATGGATGTCAGTTTTGCCTTAGATACATGTTTTGGAGAAAACCTACTGCCGTACACTGGTGCTAATCTTGTGCAATTTAAATCATCTGACAGGCAGTAACTTCCATTTCAAACTAAAAGCTGCTAGAGGCTAAAAAAAAAGACGGGAAGAGGAGGGGATATAATGTAATAGGTAATGTAATGGGTGGCACAGATTAAAAACATTGAGACTTGGGTTTATCCTGTTGCAAGAAAAAAGAACAACCTCACTTGCATTGTGAGATGTTTAAGAGGAGTGCTGGCTGGGCAGGGAGGAACAACATCTCCCCTCTTCTTCCCAGGAACCCGGGAATCTGCCTTTGTCTACGCACTGGCTGCCGCCGCCCTCCACACCTCCACCACCCACGCAATCCGCCCAGGCCTGTGCCTCAGGAGAGGTCCCTCTCTGCTCCTGTGGCTCTGTCCCCTCGGAGGTCCCTGGGCCGGACTTCAGATGGGGTGGCTGTGGGGACAACCTCAGCTACGGCCTCCAGCTTGGTGCCGCTTTTGCTGACAGTCCCTTAAAATCCAGCAAGCTGGGGACACAAGCACTCAAGGCCATGAATCTGCATAACAGTGCAGTGGGTCGGCAGGTGGGTACTGGGTCCACCCCATTGCTGCAGCCCAGGCACCTTACAGAGCCTGGGGGGCAGAGGTGCCTAATGTAAGGCAGTAGACTCCAGCCAGGCTGTTGGGATGCTGTCCTTAAAGTCAGGAGGCAACTAAATGGTTAAAACAGAGTTAAATGTGTTTGCAGAGACACCCCCCACTGCTACCCACCCCCCCTCCAAACAACCCTGCACCCTCTCCACAACCAGCACAAGACATTTGCCCATTTGCTCATGGGAAGCAGAGGCCCATCCTGCTCTACTCCAGCTGGGCTCCCTAGCCCCACAGGGAACTCCAGGGCTTTGCACTTTCATGCACCCCTGTTCCGTGGCTATCCTGCACCCATGTTGGCCAGGGAAGCCACCAGCCCCTCTGCAAGCTCCAGCACGGAGTTGCCCAAGGGTTAGGTTCTTATCATATGGGAAATGAAGCAGGGCTGAGTCTTTGGTTGCCCCATTATATTCATTTAAAGGCGGCAGTAAGCAGCTGAGCTCTTCAAACTTCCCATGGATGCTCTTGCAAATCAATCTGTAGGGTGGGTACCAAGGGAAAGCAGAAGCAAATTAGTCTGTTTTTCCTGTCCTCTGCAGGTGCTGAGAAGGGTTAGGTTCTTATCATATGGGAAATGAAGCAGGGCTGAGTCTTTGGTTGCCCCATTATATTCATTTAAAGGCGGCAGTAAGCAGCTGAGCTCTTCAAACTTCCCATGGATGCTCTTGCAAATCAATCTGTAGGGTGGGTACCAAGGGAAAGCAGAAGCAAATTAGTCTGTTTTTCCTGTCCTCTGCAGGTGCTGAGTGACTCCCTCGATACCAAGTGTAAATGCCATGGTGTTTCAGGCTCCTGCTCAGTGAAGACCTGTTGGAAGGGACTGGCAAAGTTGGATGAAATAGCCTCTGACCTCAAGTCCAAGTACCTGGCAGCCATCAAGGTGACCCACCGGCTCATAGGGCCCAGGAAGCAGCTAATACCCAAGGACATGGAGGTCAGGCCAGTGGAAGAGACAGATCTGGTTTATCTCATCAGCTCTCCTGACTACTGCACACCGAACCTTCACCTGGGGTCTCTGGGGACACAGGATAGGTAAGAAACTGCTGCAAATACACTCTAACTCAGCATTTAATTTCATTAGTGTCTGTACCATCAGCATGCTCTGGGAAGCTGGTGTGGATGGGCAGTTCTCTGTTAGATGGGGACAGCACAGGGACTGCTGTGAAATCTTTGCATCTCAAAGCCCCAGGGAGGGTAGGAAGGCAGATGTCATTCTTACAGAGCTATGCAGGTGTAAAGGCAAAGGGAGAGCCCTCACTGAGAGTCTGTCAGCTCCACTCTCCAGGACAGGATCTATCCACCGATGGGTCAGAAAGGGAAATACCTCCACTCCCTGCAAGCGTTTGGATGCTGCCTGCCAGTAACCAGAACAGTTCAGCAGCCCTTGGACTCTGTGGTGCTTCCCAAATTTCTCCCTTCTGGAGTGACTGCCAGGCAGCAGGGAGTTTTTAGAGGGATGGGGAAACCTGAAGGTTGAGCCAGGGCTGCCTCGGGGCTGTGACTTGCAATCCTGTCACACTTAGCAGTAACAGCAGTTCCTGGTCCTGGCCATCTGCCCTTCCTTCTCCATGGGGAGTTCCTGCCTCCAGCATGATACACAGTGATTGTGCCCAACCTCAGCCACAGCTGCTCAAACACAGCCACAGCAGCACGAGCTGATATCAATCCCAGTTTGCAAGCAGACCTGTGCATCTACTGCCTCCTGCTACAGGCAAGTGAGCTCTGGGAGGTGGCCTGGGCAGATAGCTGTGGTCAGCACCCCTCCGTGGGTATGCTCCCTCAGCTCCCACTTGTGCATCCTCCTTTGGCAGGCAGTGCAACAAGACCTCCGTGGGCAGCGACAGTTGCAACCTTATGTGCTGTGGCCGCGGCTACAACACCTACACAGAGGAGGTGGTGGAGAGGTGTCACTGTAAATATCACTGGTGCTGCTATGTGGTGTGCAAGAAGTGTCAGCGGAAGGTGGAGAGATATGTCTGTAAATAACATCAGAGGCGTCCTGGCAGGCGGGAGAACTCTTGCACTGGTATCCTCTGGAGAAGACACAGCTGGAGACCAAATGCCAACCACGAGGGATGCTCTGAGCTGCGGCAAGAAGGGGGCTATGCAGGACGCCTGGGATCCAGCATTACCATGGAAGAACTCAGACTGAGAGATGCCAGGAAACCTAAGGCCAGAGGCCAACCTCTGCTCCACCTTGCCGGAGCAAGACAAAGGGCTGCCCTCCTCCAGCTGAGGACAAACCATTTATCACTCCACATGCACAGGCTTTTTTCTCCAGGGGTGAATGGGGAGTCTGGGCTGCCATTGTCTTTCTGCAGGAGGTTCCTGACAGTGGCCTGAAAGCCAGGAGTGATGGATGGGAAAGGGGATAGTGAGTTGTCCACTGGGAGAAGGCTGCAGGGGAAGAAAGCTGCTTTGGGTGAGGGGGTCATGGGCAACTCCTCTGGGGGTAGGTTTCTGCTGTGGGCTCACCCAATACTACTGATTGTTCCTCCTCAGGGGCAAACACTGGTCCAGTGCCTTTTGCAGCATCTGAAATAAAGACCAGGCTTGACACAGGCATGACCAGTTATTGCTTCAGGAAACAGAACTCATTGATACTCACCATGACTTGCATGGAGATTACTGCTGCTCTCAGTGCTAACTGAAGATAGCAGACACATCTAGGGACAGTAGTGGTCCTGGAGACTGCTGAAACAGGGCAGCATGGCAAACCTGCACCCAGCAGCCTTGTAGTAACAAGGCAGCCACAGCAGCACTGTAGCTTCTGCCCTCTGGGCTTGTGTTGGCGGTGGAAGCCCATTCAGTGCATGTCATACTCATGGCTTGTCCTTCCTGCCCTTTCATTTAGACTACTAAGGTCTTCAGCCCACTCCTTCCACCCCCCTTAATACCAGGCGTGCTGGCACTCTGGCCTGGAGAGAGGACAAGCCAGGGAAATAAGAATGAACCTTTAGTCTCTATACTTAATGTAAGTGGGATTCTGGTGTGTGTTTTATAAATAAATGTTTTACATCTTATCTCTCTATGGCGTGTTTCCTAGGATGACCTCCACCACCTTCTCAGCTGGCCACAGAGAAAGCAAGGCTCCAAGGAGAGCATAAAGCCCTGTGTTCATGCCCTTACATGCAGCAGGGGACCAATTCAGTTTTAACCCTTTCTGCTGCTCATTGGCCTGGCCCAGGTTTGCCTTTAATTACAGGTATTTGTCAACCTCAGCTACTTTATATATATGGAAAACTTGCTGGAAGGTTTCTGACACCCACTTCCTCAGGTCTCTAACTAGCCAGCAAGGAATACAGCTTCTTGGGATTTAGCACTGGTGGCTGGAAACTGAGGCAATCCAGGATTGTTTTAAGATCCTTGTGAATGTGGGCTGGACTAGCCAAGCGTATATGTATGAACAGCAAGGAGTTAGGAGCCAGGGATGGAAGCTCTGACAGCCACCATTTCCACGCGTGCAGAATGTGGCCAAGCACTTGCCTAGGATAAGAGATTCCTGTTCAGGCAGTCTTTGGAGAGAAAAGATGAGTCTAAACACACAGGTGCTGAGAAGAACCCACAGCACAAGGACAGGTAAATGAGACAGAAATCCAAGAGCAACTTCCTGCAGCTCACAACATGACCTTGAGAGTCTGGCAGCTTTGGTTTGTCTGCGTGCGCCTTGGCTTGTTTGTGGTTTGCACTGAATGGAGTTGGCTGCGTTCAGCCCCAAGTCCAGCTGTAGGATTACTCATTTCCATATTCATTCAATCATTTTTAATAGCCTCTGATGGGTCACAGAATCAATTCATGAGCTTTTATTGTAAACCTCCATTTCATTGTCCTCTCCACTTAATGTGCTCCAGGTTTCAGTATTAACAGTGAATAAGAGTCAAGAATTAAAGGTGGCTTCAGACAAGCCAGGGACGTGGAAGCTGAAATGCTCCGAGGTGAAGCCTATGAACCAAGTGAGTTAACTATCATTATCAGTTGTTAATGTGCCGTTGACTTGAGCTGGCTGCTGACATCTAGCCTTTCCAAAGTGACAGTAAAGCTACAGCTGCAAGGCTTCCATCACAGCTGCCCAAGGCCAAAAAGCTATCTTAAGTTTTTTCTTTTAAAATGCAATTATGGGTTAGTCACCAGCATTCCTCAGAAAAAAGAGTCTTCAGTTGCCAGGCTGCAAAATAGCTGCAGTTCCTGTGTCCAGAAGAGGTGATGCAGGTACTTAATGAGGAGGATTGCTTAAATACCTTCCCTATAGCCACCTTGCTATGCATCCCAGATAAGAGGGAAGTGAAACCGGGAGGGGCTGTGAACTCCACAGAGCATTGCAAAAGTAGCTGGTGAGAAAAAAAACAGGCAAAGGATCTTGTGGAGTGAGAGATTCAGCCAGGAGGGTGGGAAATGTGATTTGCATTTGGTAACTACAAACACACGTAGCCTGGGGTAGAGGAGAGGAGGCACAATAGCGAGGAATGCCTTGGGGAAATGTGATCCCCTCCTAGAGAGGTCCCATTTGAGTTTCTGCCTGGGAAAAGGCAAGGTCAAGTGCTGAATATGCGGCGTCCTCTCCTCCTCTTGCTTCTTGCATTTCCACTGCAAGCCCAACAGGGAAGAGCTGAGAAAGGACTGGAGGGGTCAAACAGTAGCAAGGACCTTGGGGTCCGTTTGTGTCCTGCGGGAAATCGGGAAGTGCTATGATTAGTTGGAGGATGCAAAGGATCAGGCTGGCAGGAAGGACGATGGTGGGGAGGTGACAGTTAAGTGACAATGCTCTGAGTGGGAGGTGGTGTAATCTGGGCCCACACCTGGATTTAGCAGGATTGTGAGATATGATGAGCTGGAAGAGCCTCCCAGGGACCCAGAGCCAGAGCAAGGAGTTGGCATTAGACAATGGATCCAGAGGGAATAAACCCTGCGTTTGGCCCCAGGGGGTTAGAGGATCCATCTGACTGGATGCATTTTCTCTCTCTAACTCTGCTTGGACAGAAAAGCCAGCAGGAAGGTGTCGGGGGAGCATGGAGTCCCTTCCCCAGCCTGGGCTAGCACAAACACCCTCTGAGGTAGAAAGATGGGAAAACCTGGTCCCTGACATAACCCATCCAGCACCAGTCAGTGCATCACTATGCCAGAGAAGTTGGTGCAAGAAGGCTTTTCTCTAACCTTCTGCACTTTTGCTTCCACCCCAAACATCTCCAGTTCTGTCAGATAGCCCTTCAGGATCCAAATAAACCTGGTCAAGGACAGTAGCAGTGTCCCTGAAACCAAGAGCATCTCTGTAACAGTTGTGGCTTTGCAGCCCTTCAGACACTTTCTCACATGCTGCTTTTGCCTTGCTTTCACAATCAGACTCTCCAGACTGTGGAAGGCTGCTGTCATTACCCCCTCCTTCACCAACCCTCACAGGCCCCACTGCTAATGTGACGGATCTACCTCTTTGACTTTCTTGTCATTAGTCATTTTTCCCAATGTCTCATGGCTTTTTGTTTCTCTGTCTCCCTGGAAATGAGACTCCTCAGAGTCTCCATGGTCATGGCAGAAGTCTCTCACTTTCTGGTGCTGTGAGCTGACATGGGAGAGATGGCTCTGAAATGGCTTGTGCATAGAAGAAAACCATCCCTCTATATGAAATGTGGTGAGAACCAGGCAACAGGTTTGCTCTGAAAAGACTCCTCTCAGCTATTGCTTTTAATTTGGGTTGGAAAGGAGTAATGCTGGTATGAATATGTGATCATTCCCTGCTGGTTAGACTTGTGCAGACAATGAAGTCTGGAGAAAGGTGAGTGATTTTCATGGACTTTTTTGACTCTGCTGCTAAACAGCAAAGTTTGCTGCTGTTTTCTCTGCCCCCTCCCCCCACCTTTTATTTCTTTAATCATTGAGGGATGCTGCATAACTTATTCCAGGAGGATAATCTGAGCAAGGGCAGCAACTGTTGGTAATCAACTAATCATTTTGGAGGAGGAATGACTCTGTGTTCAAGAACTGTTCTGTATGACATTTCTTCCCTGCTGCCTTGGATTGCAGCTTGGACCAGACCATGAGTCAGGACCTCCACCTGCTTTTTGCCTGTGCTCTTCACAAAGGAAGCTGAGCCAGAACAAGCAGGAGGCGTGAGGTGGGGCTATTGCCTGAGAGCTCAGCTCTTGATCAACATCTGTACTGCTGTAAATATATGGAGGATGTTGCTTTGACCTTTGATATGCTTGGTGCCTACACTTACACAAGACACAAACATGAGTAAATGTTTATATGTAAGGAAAACCCCTTGCATTTCTGTTCTCCTTTATCTCTGGGGTGTTCAGCAACATCATGATGCCCCAAGGATGACAAATAATAATAGGGATTGTCCTCACAGGGATCTTCAGCTGAGGGACAGGAACAAATCAACACAGGTGAGTAACAGCCATAAGACCAGAAAGGGAACTAGGCTTCTGATTGAGGGCCTTTGGGCATAGCTTGAAGGACAGTTGCAGCAATGGCTGTGTGAGGTTGAGGGGAAGCAGACCTCCATCCCTTCTCCTAGGCTGACCAGGCTGGCATGCCTTCCACCTCTGAACCCTGTATTTCAGCAAGTTGCTCGATCAGAGTGGAGGAATCCCATGGTGCCAAGGTGCCATGGCCACCTTGTTGAATCACTCAGTAGTAGCATCTTCCCTTTGTGCACTCCTGGAGATGCTGCCTGCAAGGTCCATCAGAAGGTGAGTTAAAGCAGGGAGGGAGCTGCAGAACAGTCTCCTCTTCAGAGCAGAAGCTGACGTGGGACCATGAGCCACCCTGGGTCTGCCATCCAAGTGGGGTTTCCCAGAGGCATCCTCCCACTAGCCTGGAGCTGGGGCCCTACAGACTTTAAGGACTTTCTCATCTTGCATGTATGTTGGCTGTGACCACTGTGCATGTGCTGTGTGGTGGAGTAAGGCATTCCAGGCATGCTTCAGTCTGGCTGGAATAGCACTTGTGTGCTGTAGGACAACATGCAGAAGCTCTAACACCTTTCA